GTCAGATCCGCTGCTCGCAGCAAGCCACACAAAAGGATTTCACACCCAGAAGCATACACCCTGAGTGTGGATCTTTCTGGCAAGATGGTGATCGGCCAAGATCAACATCGACAGGATTGCAAGTACATGATGGTGGCGGTCTACACCTTTCCGGTGGATGGATCTGGCCGAGCTTTGGCGGAGGTTGAATGTGGAGACCTCGCACAACCGGGGTCAGCGGCAGTGGAGCCTCCATCCATTGATGCTGAAGAGTACACTCCTACCGAACCAGGCCGTGATGATCCTGGAGAGGATATGCTGGGTGAAGAACCGCATGCGATCCCGGGGGAGGATGGTGGAGAAAAAGATGGTGGGGCTGTAAAAAAGGGGCATGAAGCCTTTGAAGCATGGCAAAAAACCATCGAGGAGGCCCAGGATGTCATGGTGCGAAATTTGACCTTCGTTGAGGTGCTCCCAGGCCGTGCGGTGACCCACATCTTGCCCGCCCTGGCGAAGATCTACGCCAAGTTACGGGGCCTAGGACTTCCTCTGTACAGGCTCCATTGCGACAGGGCGAGAGAGTTGATTTCAGCACCGGTGCGTCGTTGGACTCTGGATCGGGGCATCACAACAACGCTGACATCCGGTGATAGCTACAAATCCAATGGCCGTGTTGAGGGTGAACTGGGAGTGGTCAAGAAGCATGTTCGCACAGTGCTCACCACTACAGGCCTTGGTCTTGAGATGTGGCCGCTTGCTGCAACCCACATCGGAGAACGTCGTCTTCGGGGTCAACTTCGAAGTCTGGGCTTCCCAATAGGCCCTCTGCTGAGATTTGGCTCCCGGGCCTACGCCCTGAAGAAATCATGGCAGGATCGTTACCAGCCATGGCGTGAAATCAGAGATGAGGTGGTGGTGCTTGGTCCCGCATTGCAGTCATCCATGACGACCACAAGTTACTATGTGCAATCCCTGGAGACAAAAAGGTTCTTCTACACGGATGATGTTGTGGTCCCCAGTTCCAATCAACCTGAAGCCGACGAGGCCCTGGTCCATCTTCCTGTGTTGTCCGATCCTCCAAGAAGACCAGCGTGGCAAGATGGGGTTCCTCGTCGACGGCTCACTGAAAAGACGGCAATCCCACAAGTATCCATGTTACACATGGAAGGGGAGGATGCCTGGTGCCAAAACTGGCTTTGCAAACATCGGGAGTTGTTTGATGCTTGCAGTCCCAACAATCCGGAGCTCTTCCAGGTCGAGATCAGCAGTGACAGCTGGACCATCGAAACCCCTGAGCGGGAGGCCTCGTGTGAAGGGGGTTCCCAGGGTGCTGAAACTCAAAGCTCGGTTTCTATGGTGGAGGACTCGTCCGGAGGAGGGGAGAAGGAGGGGGCGCCTAACAACCAGTGCGGTGGCTCAAGCCTGGTGGCCCCAAAAGATGATGAAGCACCTGGGAACATTCCTCTCACGAGGGTCCAGTTCATCCGCTCCGTCCAGGCGAACTTGGCCACTTACATCGGTGAAGAGATTGGCCATCTGGACATCACGAACCCTGATCAAGGGTCATACATGGAGGTGTTGACAAATGCCGTCATGAACAAGGTTGAGCTAGAAGAGGAGCTTTTGCATTGTGACCACAACAACCACTTGCAAGAGCAGAAAGAGATGGAGGAAGAATTCTTGGTCACCAAGACAGTGGCCGCTCGGGAAGTCCTGGATGATTTCGAAAACTGGACTCCATCAATCACGGCTGAGCACACCCAGCTGGTTACTACAAAAAGGGCAGTGGAGCAGATTACAAAAGAAGATCTTCATGATCGTGCTGCCCGTGAAGGCAAGACCATTGAATTGCTCCCTGCAAAGATGGTGTACACCAGAAAAGCTGGTACTGGTGCTCGCCGAGCCCGTGCCGTATGTTGTGGCAACTATTCTGAAACCCGCTTTGATGCTGATAGCTACGCGGGTGGTGCTGACGGTTGCCAAGTACGAGCCCTAGTGAGAACGGCATCTTTGAAAGGCTGGGCCATGGCAGCAACCGACATTCGTGTCGCCTTTTTGAACGCTCCTCGTCGGGAAGACGGAAAGCTGGTTGCAATGGAGATTCCATCCGTCTACCGGCGATTGGGGCTTGCAAGAGAAGGGGAGGTTTGGTCGGTCAAATTGGCCATGTACGGCCTGACGACATCACCTCGTGACTGGTCACAGTATAGAGACACGAAGCTGCCTCAGATGTCATGGACCAGGCAAAAAGGGGATCGCGAAGTCCGGGGGAGTTTCTGCAAGACCGCTGATGAGAATCTCTGGCGGTTGGAGGAGGTGGGTTCGATCTCTGGTGAACGCATTTGGTCAGGTTTGATGTCCGTGTACGTCGATGACATCCTGCTGACAGGTGAAGAGGGGAGCATTTCAGCTGCTTTGGATGCTCTGCGAGCCACGTGGGCCACATCCAGCATCGAATGGGCTTCCAGCACAAATCCAGTTCACTTTTGTGGCTTTGAGATTGCCCTTGATGTTGATGGAGATGGGTACCACATCGCTCAGAATAAGTATGAGCAAGAAATCCTAGCCAGATGGCAAGTCACTCGTGCAGCTGCCTTCCCAAACTTCAAGGTCAGTGAGGCCGATGGAGAACAGCAGCCTGACATCGATCGCAACCAGATCAAGGAAGCACAAGCCTTGGCCGGATCACTTCTCTGGTTGTCAACAAGATCAAGACCAGATTTGGCCTACGGCGTCGCAGCTTTGAGCAGGCTTGTCACCAGAAACCCTGGCAAGGCGATTGAAATTGGCCATGAACTCCTGGCTTACGTGAAGCACAAACCTGGAGATCTTCACTACCCCAGGTACATGCACAATCCATGGGGAGCCAGAAGCCAACTCAAAGTTCAGCGCCACGAAAAGCTGCTTGAAGTGTTTGCTGATATAGCTTATGGCACAGGCAACGGTCACAAGAGCATGCAAGGCCTGGTACTATGCTTTGCTGGTGCACCGGTGGCTTGGCAGAGTTCCACCCAACCTTTCGTATGTCACAGCACCGCAGAAGCAGAGCTGGTTTCCTATTGCGAGGCCTTGAATGCTGGAAGAGCCACAGAGGCTTTGTTGTGTGCCATGTGGGGGGAGCAGCTCGTGGGCAACACTTTTGAAAGAGTGATCTATGGTGACAATGCTGCCGCAATAGGGTTAGCCCATGGAAACTCCGCCACCTCTTGGCGGACGAGGCATCTGAGGGTCCGTTCCAATATCCTCAGAGAAGCTCTGGAGGGACAAAGCCTGTTTCCTGGTGGCCCTTGGAAGCTCATCCACCTGAAGGGCACGGAGCTCGTGGCAGACGGCATGACCAAGCCGCTCGTGGGTCAAAGCTTCACTGGATTCCAGCAGGACTTGGGCTTGCGAAGTGAAGTTCAAGTGAAGAGGATGATGGGTGGAGGACAGCCGCTTCAACCACAGCCTCAAGAACACCAAGTGGCTCTTCGGGCCTTGTTGGCCGGTGGTTTGCTAGTGCAAGCCGCAGAGGCGCATGGTGGTGCCGGCTCTGACGAGATCTTCGGCAACCTCTGGCTGTGCGGCCTAGTGCTGATAGTGATAGGGGCAATCTGGGTTGCGAGGACGGTTTGCACTTCGGTGCATTGTTGCCTCCGTCGATTGCAATTGCTGTCCAGCAAGCTGCACGTTTCAGGGGATGAGCTGGAGTTTGAGGAAGGGGTCATAACCACACCATTGCCCTCAAGGCGACCAAGATCGAGGAGCTCTACTACAAGGAAGAAAGGGGTTGGTGAAGCTTCACCAACAGAAGACGAGGCTGACAATAGCCCCAGCAGTGAAGAAGAAACCACCTTGGAAGCTCAAACCAAGAGTGGAGAAAGGGGTTTCAGATTGAGGAGCTCTATGGCCAGAACTATGGGGCAGAAGAAAGGTGGTGGGTCCAGCTCAAGTCGACCGCTGGATTTGCCAAGTGAGCGTGTGATCCAAGCAGCTTGTGCCGCTGCTGATGAGGCCGGGAAAGCCGCCGAGAGCGCTGAGATAGCAGCGCATGCAGCTGAACAAGCCGCCGAGCAGGCGATCGTGGCTGGACATGTCGCCGAGAAGGCGATGGTGGCATCCGAGCGCTTGCACCGCGCGGTGGTTCAGACCAGCCACCATGGAGGTCGGAAGAGGTCACCATCCCCGACCAATCCGTGGAACAAATTCCAGAAAGCGCATTCTGGAAAGGGCTGGTCCATCGAAAAGATGAGGGCCGAATACTACAAGGCGAAAAGCCTTGCAACAAAGCCTTGAGCCTCCTTTTGGACTTTTCCATGTCCACCAGTCTGTCAGAGCGACAGAGGGGGAGTCTGTGAATAGAGGTGTGAACACCTGAAGGCTTTTGTTCTCAAGTGAAGGAAAAAGGCCCGCTTGTGATCCTTTCAAGCTTGTAAAGGAAACATCCAATGGCACCAGCCAATCGACCCAGGCCAGGCAAACCGCCACTCTTGGAGAGGTCCGGAACCGCTGACCCTGTAGCTGACAAAGATGACTTCCAACATCTTCCAACTGCTTTTGAAGCAGAGACTCTTCCAACCCCTCGTTCCACTTCAGACTAGCACTTTTTGACGAATGCAAACGAATGCTCCAAACATGGTGGGACCTCAAACAGAAAGTCCGACTTCACATCACCCACCTCAATGAAGAAGCTCTTTCCACGGTTCTGTCTATAACATGTTCCATCATCTTCCTAAGAAATTTGAACATGTCACAAATCCTTCAAACAAGTCCATGCCGCGAATGAAATGCAAACAGTGTGAAAAAACATTGAAAAACTATAAAAAGATCCTACATGACCTTAGATTCATTGTTGCCGGCAGTGCGTGCGTCGGGGGTCACTATGCATACTGCATCGGTTCATGTTCTGTAGGAATAGTTGTATAAGCGCATTTTTTTTACACATATTTTGCATTGGCATTATGCATAATTTATAAATGTAATATGATGTCATATGTATTCATATGTAATATGTACCGTACCCTTACAAAGACCATTGTCCTCTACAAGCGGTCCGGTTTGCCACTTCCACTCGAAGTGTCTCGCTCCCTCCGCGGATCAGCCCAGTGGCCGAGATCGATCACATGAAGGGCTTTCACATAAGCCTCAGACCCGAGGGTGCCCCTGGTTCAGCGCTGTGAAGGCAATGGTTGAACTGGATTCTGGAAACCCACCGGACCGTTGTTTAATCACTTATGTTTGGATAAGCGGATAGATAAGAGGGTAGTAAGGTTTTAATCATCAAACTAAAGTGATTATTTCTCCTACAATCCCATCTATCACCTATTTCTGTCCATTCCGGACTCTTGACTGGCAATTGTCTTGACTCGGTGCAAAAAAACACATCTGATTTGCACCGCTCGAGCGGATCGCTGTACCATCGTCAGTTCTCCGGGTTGTTGTGGCAGGATGGGAAGCAACGATCCCATCTGGCGGCCAGGGCCAGGTCCGGCAGGGCACTGGCACGGTGACACGGTGATATGTCAAACAAGCATGACATCGGTTCTGGGTCTTTCGGTTTCCAAAAGGCTAAAACATGCTGCATGATCAAATTCTCAGTACCCGCGTGGAACCCTTGCTAAGTGAGTTGCAATGATCTTCCGGTCGTCGCACCCACGACAACTCAGGAGCCCCAAGACCGATGTGACATTTCCGACAAGCGCCCATTTTGTGTGCAAAAGCTGGCACTGCTATGCACTGCTTGGAGAAAGGGTAGGTGCAGTGACACTTCTTGGGATCTACGAGCCAAGAAAAAGACCGTTTCCTATTGACCCGGTTTCTACGTACCATCAAAACCACCTGGTACCTTCTCAAATAACTATATAGACTATATATATACATAACATCAAAATCATCTGATCTGTACCTCCATATCCCTCCATTGCAACCCAACAACATGAACCCAGTCTTTGTCGACACACCTCACCAGTCTAACCAAAAGCGAAACCCAACAACAAACCTTCGACACCCGACTCCCAAACCCTCTGACAACCCTGTTGACATCCTCTGAGCGGCGCAGATCGCCAGCAGCAGGAGCACCACGAAGGTGAATCCCGTCGTCTGACGCAAGCGGCGCAGCGAGCGCTCGGAGGGCCTTCGGCCTGGGAGACGAGACGTCCGAAGAGGTCACGTGGGCGCGTGCGTGGCAAAGGCGTCGGTCGCAACCGGACGGTGGCATCGACAAAAAAAGCCGGAAAGCATCTACAAAACCTGGAACAAGTCGCCGACTTCCATTTCCCCCTCAAGATGTATAGGCTTCGTTGAAGCATAGGTCGCGGTTTAAGGAGCGGGGACGTGATCCAGCAGAATCTGCCGGGAATGCGGCAAAGTCATGACCTTTGTCCAGAGATGTGAGAGTTGATGCATGTTTTTCGACCGGGCCGAAGAGAAGGACCAAGGCCAGGACCACCAGTTGTGTGCCTTCCACCAGAATCGCTGCTGAATCGCTCGAATCGCTTCAGAAGGTCGTCCATGAGTGGTGACATGATGGTCGGACGATGTCGGTTCGCTGTTCGCTGTGAACGATTCGGGTGAATGGACAGAACGCACCACTTCCATACAGTCATTTGTCCGTGCTCTTGTTCAAGCATTCACCTATCTATTCAATGTTGGATTGTTGTGATGACAATACATCTTGCTACTTCTGCTCAACATGGGATACGACTAGAATAGTTAGGTTCTTCTAAGGCACACATTAAGTCTTTGACGTCCTCTCCTCTGGATGCAGTCTGCAGTTTGCAGCTTTGCTTCTGCATGGCCCCACTTGCGTGTCACCCAACCGATGTGCAGCCACTCACCAACCTTGCCTTACACAAAGAAAAGCTAGCTAGTTAGTGCTGACTGTTGATGAAAAACATCTTAGTAGCAAAACACTAAGTATTTTCCATATATGAAGGGATTTGAATGGATTCAATTTATTCATCAACACTCAACAGCACGAAATCCCCACGATTTCGTTCGGACTTCTTCGCGCCGTGGTCTTCCACCCGCCCGGCGATGGTCCATTCATCGGGCAGTCGAGCGGCTAGGTTTCACAAAGACAGGCAGCAAGGCGCGGTCTTCGTTCAGCCTGATGCAAAATCAACCATGGAGCGGACATGTTTGATCTACATGTTTGATCAGTGCTTAATGTCTATTTCCGGGAGTCCGTAGGAGTTGTAGGGTCTGTCTTTTTGAATCATGTCCAATCAGGGCTTGCAGGAGATTTTTCCAAATTGCAGGCTTTGGGGTTGTCAGTGAGAGGAAACCCTTTCTATTTTCCCTCCCAAGATCTTTGGAAACCTCCTCTGACACCCTCAGTGTTCCTGGGAAATACAGGTTCATGATGGTTCATGATTTCATGTTTTTCCACCTGTTGGATTCGAGTGGGAAAACCCCAATCCATCCCAATCCCCTGTTTTCTTCGGTGACCTGGTGATGCACGTTGGACGGATGAAAGCGTACGGTAGGTCCTCTCCCATGCTTGTGTCCATAATTACCAAGTAATTATGTTCACATCTGAGACTCTTCACATTCAGTCGCCTTGCGGGAAAAAACCGGTCGATCCGCATCCGGACTTTCTTGTGCATCAACTCGGTTCTCTACTTTTGCTTCAGGCATGGGATCATCGACGAGTTTCGTCCCGCTTGGCGTCGCTGAAAGAAAGAACCGCCAGGTTGGCCGAACAACTAACCAAGCCGCCGTTGGCCACGTGGCTTGGAGAACGGTTGGAGTGGCCATATGTCGGTGCACCGGAGATCAAACACACACAGACAATTTCTTGAGATCTGTCTCCGTGATCTGGGTCTCCCCATGGTCTCCCCGTGGTCTCACTGTCTCACCGTCTTCTCTCATTCGTATCACCTTCTGGTCAATTCCGGGCCTGCAAAGCAGATCTTCTCGTTCAAAGGCCAACCTATCAGCAGAGTGCTCACGCTTGGACCGACCTAAAGTCCTTTAAGGGGGGCCCGGAGCCGCCACCAGGCGTCATCCCGACTCCACTGGTAGAGCCAACCCAAAGCATGGAGTTGGGTCCAGTCCTCAATATATAAGTACAAGTGGTTTCAGTGAGCAGATGTGAGTAGCATGAGAAGTGACGTGGATGAAGGTGGACGATCTGGCTGGTGGACCATCGGGGGCTTGTGACTTGTGCCATCGAACTCCTGTGAAATATTGTGAAATCATCCCTGCCGTTTCCTGAGGGGGGACGTAAAAAAGTGTTACTTACTGTTCCCAATGTTTGGGACCTGAAAAACTGTATAATCATATACATGTTTTGCAGATAGCCTAAACAAAAATGTAACTTACATGTTTTCAGGCCCCAGGTGTCATATACTGGGTAATGACCTCAAAAATGTAAGTTGCATTTTTGAGCCCAGTGGGAGTCGGGAGGTTTATTTGTTTTTGCCCCCCTGATGATTTTCTTGTTTGGGCAGTTGTGGATGCATGATGATGGAGGGTTTGCATGCTTTTGCAACATTTTGTGAATGCACTTTTTGGGGCGCAATTTGTTGCACCATGTGACAATCACCACTGGGTGTGTGTCGTGTGTGTGTGTCCACCCCTGGACCAAGGGTTTCGTCCATTCGATCCACATGTCAGTTTTACCACCACCGCTTCACAAGCAGGGGGCTCACGGGTCTGTTCCTGGCGTGAGCCAACGAAGCTCCAGGTTGAGACTAGGATATCGAAAGAGGACGCTCTTTCGACGTACCTGCAACCTGAACTTTTGACCACGCTGTCTAATCTGCTTGGTTTGTTTCCATGGTTCTTCATGCCTCCACCCCC